TCCTTCTTCTTTCTTATGGAAACAACACATGGAAACATATTTCACACCTCTCATTCTCTATGTGTCGGAAGTGGAAGTTATGAGCTTGCAGAGAGTTAGTAACTGTTTGACATCAAGGTCGAAGTTCAGTGTCAATGAGTAATTCTACCTACTCTTCTTCTATAAAAAGGACCTCCGTCTTAGTTTCTGTTCATTGTTCAGTAAAGGCAATATTTGAGCTTTTCGGCTATTGGTCCAGGGTGGATTTGTATTGGCCTTTCGTGCTGCGGTAGTATTCAGCTACCTGCTCTGTGCCTACAAGGAAAAGCCTTCATTCTGCAACCAGAGGTTCTCTTTCCAGCTTCTACCAATGCTACACCTTTTACTTTCTCCCCCTCAAGCTTAATGAGAGGAGGTTTCTTTTTTCCTCTGGTAAATTTTTTTCACCAAATAAAAATCCCTATTTGAGGCATATGGTAGACAGTGCAGTGACTTCAGACCTCATTAAATACTGATAAGGACCATTAAGTAAAAAAGACACAATGAGACAAATATAGTAATTACACCTGATGTTATAGAGTGGAGAGTGTGTGTATGTGTGAAAAGGGGTTGGTGCTGTGCAAACACACATGCTGAGGAATGCGACTGAACAAGTGTGTGTGTGTGTGTGTGTATTCATTGTGAATGTGTGTGTTAGACACAACTGAAATACGTGGACTGTTGGCTCCACACAACAAGCTCTGACACTTGTGAAGAAATGAATTGCCTCATTTGCAAAATGTATAAGTGAGCAAATGGGGTTGAGTACAGTTTAAAATATCATCAGTGGAAGTGAATGTCACTTTCAGTGGTGAGTTGGACAGCTGGTCCTTGGTACATTTCAGACATCTGCATCATGACTATTACAACAGCAAGCTACTGTTTCTAAATGAAGTGGAGAGTGGGAGTCACGATGAAAAAGATTTAGTTGTGTCTGTATGTGAATCTCACTTTGTCTCAAGCACGAGGCGGGAAAATGGAAAATAAAATCAGACGGATGGGGGAGGGCAGCCCCTCATTTGGATCTTCTGGTATGACTTATGTAACAGCAAACCAGCTGCTTTTGAATGAAGGCTGAAGTAGCACAAGCACTGGCACTATCCTCTCCAAGTTCTTATCATGCTATTGAGGTTGTTGTGCAGAGTTGGCCCTGTAATGGAATAGAAACATGACCCAAGGGAATGCACACACATTTCCACACTTCCAGTATAATGATCACATGGACTCCACCCCATTTATTTTCCCCTTCACTGGAAACACTTACAGCCCTATTTCTGGGCACAGTAACGCTGGTCAACGAGTTTACATTTCCTCCCTCCAAAATGTCTTTGTATATGTTAACTGAAAACAAATCACCCACTAAATATTATGTTTGTAGTTGTATTTGATTTGTTTTCAATTGAGTTAATTCAGAAAGTCACTGTAAATTTATAACCCAAGACTTGAGAAGGTAGACACGGAAAATGAGCTGTTTGGCCACGTAATTGAAGTGTCATTTGAAATTCATTGTATTCAAAGTAAAATTTCCACGTTTGTCCTCATTAGGATGGCAACTGGTGAAAATATTACCAAAGACATTCAATTTACAGTAGAGAAACTCACACCCTGAAGCCAGAGAGTTTGGGGTGTTTTTTGCTTGATAAATGACTTGAACAACTGATCAGTTACAGAAATTGTTATCAGTTCAATTGTGATCAATACATTCATTGTATCAGTCCTACTTTCCATTCAGTTTTTTCCTTTTTTTTAGTAAAGCCTTGTAAAGTCTAAAACCAGATTTATGGTTGATGCAAAAGGTTTATGGGAGTCTTGGGGAGTCGTAGGTTTTGATTTATAATTCAGCTTCAGGTTTCTCCGGTTGATATCACCCCTGCAACACTAGACGGACAGATCATTAACTTTGTGCTACTGAATGGCAGTGGGAAAGTCCATCTTGTTTGAACTATTCCATCCAGTCGATGTAATCATATTGTTTCAGAAGGTTTGCAGTGGAGGTGGCTTTGCTCCGTCACTACGTGGTAACCCCTTAATACATAACTACAAATGAAGCTTAACAAATCTTCAAAGTTCTAAATAATAATTCAAGCAGAATAATATGGTTCACTAGTAATGTTGTGAAGTTGCTACTGTTTACCACTATCATGAAATTTGATAACAGGAGTCTAATAAAATGGCAGAAAATGCTTACTAGTGCATGTCTTTGTGTGTCAGTCAGATCCAAAGAATGGCAGCAATGCTGGATTATCATTGGCACATACACACACACACACTAATTTTGTGGACCTAAGGTATTTCCTTCTGTTCCTTTACATCTTCATCATGTTTGCAGCAGATGAGGCGGACAGTGTGTGTTAGTGTGTGTATCTTTGTACTTGCATAAGTCTATCTCCATTCTCTATATTTAAATCCACGTGTGCCTTTGTGTCACTTTAGTCTGATAAATATATGGTTCCTAGCAAACCAAAGCAGACAAGGTTGTCATCATCCATGTGCAGCAGAATCTTTTCAGTCCATGAAAATCATTTGTGCTGTAGCTTGTTATGATGCATTTTAAGAAATAGATCAGCCATTTTTCAGTCCCTTAATCTGATCCGACTGTGTGGGTTATTCTGCTGTGCAGTTGGATCACGTCGTCACCGTAGGTCCATTGAGGACACCCTCACATCACCCCCGTCTCCTCCTCTGTATTAAGTGTCAGCCTGTCATCTCTCCCCTACAGGTTGGCGGTTAGGCTTGTTACACAGTCTCATCGGGGTCTATGGTACTTCTCCCAAGAATAGTTCACATGCTGGATTACAAATGCCACCAGCCATATGCCAATTATATGCGGCTCGTACAGTGGGATATGCCAATTAAACATTCAGTGCATACCAAGGATTCAGAACATTCAGGACATAGAGAGAGTACTGAGCACCCACTTTATCTCTGCCTCTCTATTTCTGTCTTTCACTGAAACATATGTCCTGTCTTCAGTTTTCTTCTTCTCAAACCTAAAAAACATGAGGAATTTAAAATAGTTATCAAGCCTCAAGTGATTCAGAGTCTGACATTTACAGGTAAAGCTTTCTGTTTCCTCTCCTATCTGAACATTTTTGAGGCTGTAGGGGGAAAGGTTCACTGTTTTTCAGGACCATAACTCTCTTGCTACTGCCTGCCTAGCAGCAGAGACAATGTGTGAATCATCAGCGCAGTTTTCCAGCACGAATGCTTACATTTGAAGAAATGACCTAAGAAGCTGAAGACCTGAGTCTGTTTTGGCTATTGGCATTTTGACATTTGGTGTTATCATTTCAAACTGACAGCAGAGAGGGCCAACTGTGCCAGCTCAATGTGATAGGAAGACAAAAGGTAATCATTTGATCAACTGAGCGTCCTGCTGTTTGTGCAACAATGCATATTATTTTAATATGTAGGTCTACTTTTAAGGAAATCCATTCCATCCATTACAGCCAACACAGAGTACATTTTAAAAAGAGCAATGCAGCGGCTGTATCTAATCAGAAAATTGGATTCCTAAAACATAAGCAAGAATATTTTAACAACTTTTTATAGAAGTCTTGTTGAAAGTGTTTTAACTTTTAATATATGTATATGGTATGGGCACCTGGAGGCTAAGTACAAAAACAGACTGCAGAATCACAAACAGAGCCAGTAAGATTATTGGCAAACAGCAGAAACAACTATTATAAATTCCAAAATGCAGGTGAAACAAAAAGCCAGACAAGTTGTGTCTGATCCCGTTCATCCCCTTTTTAACGAATTCATAAAATTGCCCTCTGGAAGACACTATATAGCCACTGCAGAAACCAAGAACATTTACAAAAAGTATTTCATACCAAATGCAATAACTTTACTCAATTCATAAACACGTCTCACACTGGAGCCGTATCCATTATTGTTGTCTGTACTGTGCATGTGCATGGTATTTATTATTGTTGGATTGTGATTCACAACAATGAGTTTCAACTAACCTGTGAAGCCAAAGGCAAATTTCTATATTTCTGAACAATAAAGATTTTTATCATTTTTATCTTATGCAAACCTGAACCAGTGGAGCATTGGATGGTAGTTATTAACACACTGACTCTTAAATTTTGTTACTAAAGACAAAAATATCACACTGACAAGCTTCCAGACTACCTATACATCTTTGTGGGCCAGAGTTGAAGCATCATTAATGCCCAGAGATATTGCTGAGAATTTCCTATCTGCTGCCCCATGACAATCTGTAGTACTTACCAAATCTAGCCCTATCTAGTCTCAGTGCTACCATAATTACATTGTTTGTATTTCTGCTGTGTATGTAGACATCTGTGGTATCCCCACATCCTTCCTGCGTTGTGAATATGAACTACCTTCAAAAGAGCAAACCTTTTTAGACAGCAAGGTGCTAATTGCTCCTGGAGTGCAAGCCTGAAATAGGGGTTCAATATCAAGAGATGGCTACAAGGTTAAACATACAGTAGATTCTACTCAGATTATAATTGGCCTCTGTGTTAAATGATGTTAAAACAATGCTTTTGCCAAGAAACGCCAGTGTTCATTGCAGGCCCTGATGCAGTTTAAATTCCATAAATGTGATTTTTTTTGTTTTGTATAAGTATGAATACATAATTAAGCATATATTTTTCCTTGTTTTCACAAAATGCTAATCCATTCATTAAGCATTTAATAAAACAAGGCTTACTGCATACTGTTTGGTGTAAATATAAGGAATTGATTTGCAGTTATTAACATTATGAAATGAGTCAGTAATCTGTGTGTGTGTTGCTCACACAAATATTAGACCAGAAACTGCAGCAGGAATTTACTATGTGAAAGATGTTATATACCTATAATTAAGGGAGGCTTTATACTTTGGCTAAGTGATGTGTTCAATCAGAAGTATCTCTAGAACATTTAAATCTCACAAATGTCCCAGGTTAACCTTCTTTATCGTATCTTACTGTATACTGGAAATCTCTCTCTTCTTTTCTGCCCAGTGAAGTACATGCGCGAGGCCACACCGTACGTCAAAAAAGGCTCTCCTGTGTCAGAGATCAGCTGGGAAACCCCCCCTCCGGAGTCTCCCCGTCTCGGCAGCCCTCCCATCACCTTCTCCTCCCAATCTGACCCTTCGAGCCCTGCTGCCCAGCCCTCCCTGTCCCTGCAGGGTGACAGGAGGTGCATACCACTAAAGATGTGCTATGTAACCCGAGCCATGACCACACCAGACCCTGAGAACAGGTAGGTCTCACATACACATACACACACACACACACCATAAAAAATGTTCCCTCATTCTTGAGCAGAAGGCAGTTCTCTGGACCATCTATTTCAGTCTCTCTTAAACATTACCTACTCCTCTGGTGCTTGTTGCTTTTCATTCACAGCCTAATGACTAGTTCAGCGGTTCCCAACCTTTTTTCCTATGAGACCTCTTTTTCTTCTTGGCCTCCTGTATATATTTTTATAGTATTAGTTTTCTAGTACGTCTTAAAATCAAGAAGGCCTTTGGCTTAGTTTTTAAAGATTAAGGAACAAATAGGCCTGGGGCTGTGTGCCACAGACAGAGTTGGGAAGTATTGAGAGACGGACTAACAAGTTGTCAACAGGAAAAAATAAAGAATTTTGTCTATCCTTAAAAGACCAGTGTGTAGGATTTAGTGGCATCTTGCAGTGAAGTTGCAGATTGCAACCAACTTGCCTTCCAAGCATGTAAAAAAAACTATGGGAGCCGCAAAACTCATGAAAGGCCCTATCTAGACCCAGTGTTTGATTTGTCAGTTCTGGGCTACTGTTGAAACATGGTGGACACTGTTTGTACCAATATGTTCAAAAAATGTCTTCCTCTTAAATGAAAAATTATGGACAACATCAGCATTATCAGTTCATATTGCCTTACATACAAAAGTAAAAAAATGTTAAGTTAAGTAGCCAGTCATTATGAAAAAAGTGCATTGGATGTACTGTATGTGGCAGTGCAAAAAGTGTCTCACATGAGTGTAGTGGCGAACTCTAGCCGACAGCTCGAACTAGCTCACAGGCTTTTGCTCAGTATTGTCAATGACAAATTGTCCAAAGTTCAACTTTGAAACAACCAAAAGATGGTTACCTTAATTAACCAAAGGTTATCCAATTCTACTCTGATCCTCAACTCAACAGTGTGACAGTGAGAGACTTCTTCAGCCCTTTTCTGCTACCCTGAAGGGATTACCCAGTAGTGTTTTCACACTCTTTTTTTTTTTTTTTTAGGCCATTTTCAGTTTTTCTTTAAGACAGACGTTTGAAGTAGCACACAGATGACTCTCAGTCAGCGGGGGGTGATCTGTTAAGAGGTGCTGTCAAGTTAATTGGTTGGTAATATGACAATGGCCCAATCAAACAGCATGGGGGCAAAAAGCGATTTACTTTTTTTGGTGTCACAGTCTGTGAATGTGTGCTGCAGTTGTCTCTCTTTCTGTTTCTCTCTCACCATGTTGTTTCCCTTTGCTTTTTTTTCATTGTCGCTCTCTCCTGTCTTGTATTTTTCACTCGTTCTCACTTGTTTGTGTTTTTCTTCCCCTTTGTCTTCTCGCTGTCCTCTCCCTTTCTTTTCTTTCATGATCTCTCTGTGTTCCCAGCTTTCTCTGTTGTCTGCTTCTTTATGTCTGAATCAATTATCTCCTTCTATCTCCATCCTCCCTTCCTCCCATTATTGTCGCTCTCTTGATTTATTTTTTTTCTCTCACTACAGTTTTCAGTGTCACTCTATCATTCTGCCCCTACATCCATGTGTGTCCCCTCTGTATATGTATACTTTTAGAAGTGTGAGATAATTGAACCCTACAAAACTTCAATCCTTCAGACGATGGAGGCACCATCAAAGTCAAGTAGTAATACTGAGCAGTGACTTCAAAGTTTATCTGTCTGAATAGATGTTGTTAAGCGCCTCAACACTGGAACTATAAAATGTAAATGCTAACGCACACAAACAATGAGTACAACAAACTGAAAATAAAAAATAAGAACATCATCCATGGACAGAACAGATGGTTCGCTGTTGGCTGGCTCTCCTGTATGATGAAACTGTTATAGCCCACAAAATAATAAAAAAAAATAACAAGCACATTATTCTTGACAGAGGGAAATGTAGTTGTCACATTTCCTTGCTGGGAATGTGTCCAGTTATTGACAGAGATTGTGTCTATGAGTCATTCTCTGGACTTTGCCTGTGCAGTATGAGTACCACCATCATCGAAAATGTGAGGTCATGTTCACACTGCATACTGTCATCAGATCATCAGAAAACATCTTTTTGCCCCAGCTACTGTCTGGATCTAAGGGTGTGATCACATATATACTGTAGAGTTAAACTCCACAATTTGCAGCAAAAGGTTTGAAAATTTAGCAATCAACGAAATGTGTTTATTAGAAATAAAGTGTGAGTCACAAAATGTCAAACATTTTTTTTTAAAGTTAAATCTTTACTAACTTAAAGACAGGATATCAAGATAAGGTAATTAAGCGAGACCCACTTTAAGGCCCTCATCAGATTAGATTAGACTAGATTAGATTCAAGCATCGTACCAGTGCAAAGCAGTAAAGTGCAGAGTAATGTGCATATGTACAAAAATATGTAAAAAAGTAATAATAACATGAGGGAGGGGCAAGTAGCCGTAGCACAACAGAGGCAGAGCGGGTCGTCCCCTAATCGGAAGGTTGTTGGTTCGATCCCCGGCTCCTGGTGCCACATGTCGAAGTATCCTTGAGCAAGATACTGAACCCCA